GCTCTGCCCTTCAGCGAGTGGTGCCTCTGTCCCTTTGCTCTCCCCTTTCAGGCTCTGCATATTCCCAGACACCCTTCTGACATCCACTGCCCCATAAGGGTGACACTTGCACAGCTACCTCGCCATCTCAGAAGCTTTGATGCTCTCTTGTTGAATATTTTCTATAGGATAAACAAAATATCAGATCCTCTAAACAAGCTCCTCAACCCACTAAGTGCTCAAATTGTTAGGAAACTTAAAAAACCCCAAGCTGTTGAGGGCTCAATACCAACCTTAACTCTGGTCTCACAGTCCTGTAAATTTTACAGTAAATGTAGAACCCTCCAAGCACATTCCATGACCTCCTTGCTGTACACATGAACTCCAATAGCTCCTCTTTACATGCTCCCCCTTCCTGCCCACACTCAGTATAAAAGTTTTCTAATGATTCTCTTGTTACGCTGGATGGGGGAAAAAAAAGTGTTTTCTTAGCTGAAAACTACTAATGTTGGTTAAAATATAGTATATGTTGAGTTAGTAGATGGCAGCCCTTTCTGGAATTTCCATTGGGTCTGTCTGAGCTGCATTGTCTTCATTGCTATTTTAACCCCTGCTAGCAAGCCTGGGCCAACCACCCACGTTTAGAGACAACCTTTATTTGCAATATAAACAATACCCATGTCACGACGGATAAAGGGCAGATCTGTGGGATTTCATGTGGAAAAAGACAACTGCTTTTGCCAGCCTCTGATTCCTAATAACCACATGTCTTTTATTAGTGTCCTAAATGAGGAGGTGAGCTACGTCTTGGGGGGTTTAATGACTGACCAGAGAAAAGGAGCTGAAGGGAAGGAGGATTCTGGTTACCTGTGCTCTCAGCTCAGCAGGGAGTCCCCTGTGCACTAGAGAGAGAAGCTCCACTTTCATCTACATGAAGAGAAACCAGAAGTAAAGGTCCCTTTCAGGAGGGATAAGGGGTCTCCTAGAGAGCACTGAAGGAACAGACTGGGAGGGAGAGGACGTCAGATCACAGAGGGGGTTGGTGCAATGACTTGCTTCTCAAACACAGAGTGAACAATCTTCTGCTTAATCTAAATACAAGTGATGAGTTGTAGGAGTGGTGAAAATGGCAAATAAAATCTAGGAAATTGCATATAAAGAGGAATCGTTGTTATTAAATCATTTAGGATGGATGTGTTTCAAATCTAGCTCACAGCTGAAGCTGTTTTACAGCTCTAGCTGTGGAGTTTTAACAAAATTGCAGAATTGCAACGTGTCTGCCAGGGATTTATTTTAAGGATTGCAGGGTAGTTACATGAATGAACCTTAATAGACTCAGCATGTTGTTGTGATCTGAGCTCTTCGGTGATCTCGCTGCAGTTTGTGTGCACAGGAACCAACAACACGAGTGCTTTTGTGTGCACGTGTGCAACCACTCCAGATGGACGTGGGGCACACACACGTGCACGTGTCCCCAGCTCCAGAGACTGCTCCTGCAGGACAAGGACAGCATTTCTCAACCTCAGCATCACAGTGCTCCTTTTCTCTTATCCCTAGAGATCTCTTGTTTCCTCTGATCTGCCTCCTGTCTGTATTAGAAAGGAAAGACTACACTGCCCAGCACACGGCTGGCACTTGATCTCACTCCAAGCTTTGGGTGCTAATCCCAGCACCTCTTGTCTCTCCTCCTGGTGCCTGTGGGTGTGGGGGTGTCTCTACAGACATGCACATCTCCTTCCACTGGCTGCCTTCCCTGACCTGCTCTGGACAAGAAGGGAACAAGATTGTGGCTCAAACTGGCTCCATAGTTCAGCTGCCAACATCAGCTCCCTCTCTTTTCTCCAGAAACTATATATTGCATTTCTACTTTAAGCACATCAGCTGTCAATCTAGCAGTCCAAAGACCCTCATTTCCAGGTGCTCCCATTCTCCTCACTGTGGGAGGTCATTCTCTATGGGAATTTGCCTGCTGTAGCACTGGGAAAGGGAAATTATTTTTTAAAATTTGTCTTTTTTTTTCTTTGTCTACTTCCAGCAGATAGTTGGAACATTTCAAAAAAGTTCATTCTGAGCATAAATATTGAGCACTTTTTAAAATACTGTTTTTAAACTTGTGGAGATCAAACTTCTCTAACAGCCTCAATGGTTTTAGAATGCTGTTATCCCCTCAGCTCTGGAGGGCAGAGCATGTGCTAACACTCACTTGATGGCCTCAACAACTCTCCTTGACCACAGGGATAAGTCACAGAGCAGAATGCTCTTGACGGTCCATGGGAAGGGCAGCATGCCCTTATGAACACAAAAATTATTACCACTTCTACTTCTGGAATGATCTCTAATTCATCAGTAATGTTTCAATGGAATAATGGCCACAAACCCTAGCACCAATTAGAGAAATATGATTTGTTTTGTTTATTTAATGCAAAGGCATAAGCCTTTTCATGAACAGAAAGTGATGATGTGCTGTCAGGACAAAGGGGGAAATGGAAGGAAGGATTTTGGAGCTCTGAGCACTGCTCTCCTCTCTTCTGTTCCTCTGGAACATTTGCCCTTTCTGCCCGTGGTTCCACTGTGGGAGCCATATGGCTTCCAACACTCCTCTAAGTAGCCACTGAGAATTGTCTGCAGTGGAAGAGTGCCAAAGCCCTTCCTGGTTTAATGACATGGGGAAGAGCACTGTGCAGTGCTCACCAGCACAGGGGCTCACACGTCCTTGATGCTGATCCTGGAGCCAGCAAGTGATGCTGGGAATTGAACCATCAGTGCCTCAAACACAGAAGTCGACATGTGCCAACCCCTGCTGCATTCAGCCTCTGTGCCTGGCATATTAATGAGACTTGAACTTGAGGTCCAACCTTCAAGCTTGCACACAAGGAATTATCCTAAGACCAAAAAGAAAGTCCTCTCTTCATCTTGTTTATTTTTAAGCTGGCACAGTGTTACCAGTTTCTTTGCTGAGTTTGTTCAACCCTTAAGAAGTGACCCTTTTTTTAGTCCATCACATCTTACCTCTGCAGACATAACCACAATTTCCCTTGATTTAAAGATTTGAAAAATTCGTTTAGAAGGTAGTCCAAAGAAACACATGAAGCCAAGAGGGTAGAGGAGGGGACAGAGGACTAAGTGCTAACCCTCACTCCCACACCTTATCCATAAATACCTGATGAATATCAGAGTCAGGATATGGAGCTAGAAGAAGCTTCCTTCTGCCTGCAGGAATGTGTGCTACCAGTCTCAGACCAAATGAGAAAGAGGAGGGTGCTCATCCTGGAGGCTGCATTCCCACATTTCAGCACCAGCACAAAGGGGCATTGCTGGGGACCCCCTTGGTGCCTCAGGAGCCGAAAAGGAGCCTAATTCCTGTTCCACCACAACCCCATGCCATATAACTCAGTTTAGAATTGCCCAGTTTTATTTTACTTTAATTTCCTGATTTAAATAAAATCTATGGTCATCTACTATCCAGCTGGAATATTTGGTTTAGGGAAGCTTTGCAGCAATTCTTTTGCGCCTTGCAAATGCCTGGTGCATAGTGAAGGCTGGCTTCTTCTTTTCTGAGAAACTATTTTTCTCCAGAAGCATATTTGGCAGCAGAGGCAGGATAGAGGTGAAAAAAAAAAAAAAAAAAAAAAAAAAAAAAAAAAAAAAAAAAAAAAGCCCCTACAGAAGGATGCTCTCTTTCTTTGGAAAGGGTTGCACCTCTGGAGTGAAACTTGACAAGCCATGAAAGCTGTGTCCTGCTGAAAGTGTGTCCAAGCATTAGGGAAAGGGACAGCTTGCAGAGGGTGAACAGAGCCAATGGTAAATGTAACTCTCCAGGACAGCATGTTTCTCTGGTGGGAAGAGGGAAGGACAACACATCAGTGACCCCAAAACCACAGCCTGCAGCCTTCCTAGGCAAAGATAAAAGACAGAACAAGCCTGTAAAAAAAGTCACATACTGACTTTTATTTCTTTCAATGAATTAAACAAATTAAGTTCCAGTGTTCAGGAAATCTTTCTACCTTTCAAACACTTAAGAAATTCAATTAATCAAAGCCTACACCAATCCCTGAAGAAAGCTTGTGGACAGCTCAGGGAGCTACCGAAGAAGGGTCACAAGTATTGCCCAGTCACAAAGGCTATACTGGATGTACATTAACTGAACAATTCATTTGTCTGTGTCTCAGGTCTGCAAATTCACATTTTTTTTTTCCACAGGGAGTGTTCTGACTCCCCAGCTCAGTAACAGCAGATAAAACATGTGGTGGCAGCTGGCCTCAGACAGAGACTCCAGATCATCACCATTGCTCAGAGCTCCTATGGACACCAGCCACACTTAAATCCCCCACCTTGTACTGCAGTATACCACAAAAGTCACTGCAAATTCTTGCAAGGTAGTAAAATCAGATCTGAGTGCAATCCCATGTTTTCCCAGTACAATAAACCTATCTGAAAAATGCTGTCTTTCTCCCAGCTTTTACTTGACAGAAATCAACAAGAAAACCTCACTAATTTTCATGAGAACAAACATCACTTCAGTACACAATGCTTTAATTAAATCAGCAATCCTGAAATAAAACAGTATATAATCATTATTACCCTAAATCAATACATGATGCAGCAGCAATGGAGTCACATCCAATTAACTTGATTTTATCAATGGTGAAGTTCTCAAAATTATGCTGGCAAAGTGCTACTGGTATCAAAACCAAAAAGCATCATTATTTCATGAAAACACTGCTCAGGTCCCAAAATGGTAACAAAAAAATATGTTCATTGTTAGGTATTTTAGAACATAGAGAAAGATTTGTGTTTAAGAAAGGCAAGAGCTGTTTGAGTTGGCTGTGGCTGAGAAGATAAGAGAATTCTCCTAAAGCCCCAGTTGCTGACTGAGCTTTCTTGGTCATGCCTCTGTTTTAGCTTATCTGGGTTGGGTACCAAACCAGGAGCATCACATTTACAGAGCCTTGCACTTTCAGGCAAAACCATGCAGTAACCATCTTTACCATATTTAACAGAACAATAAACTTTGTGCTGACCTTTGGCAAGCGTTCGGGGTCACCGGGGTGCCGGGGGATAACCTTCTGTAACCTTTGGAAACCATAGTCAATGGTGGGTTCGTTCAGAGCTGAAACAACAACAAACAACAGCGTGAGGTGACAAAGGCAGAGCAGGGGCTCAGGTGACAACAGGCAAAGGCACCGTGGGACCATGGCAAAACCCCCTTTGAACTCAGAACTGACTCAAGTCTTGGTCCAAGCGCTGCTTGAGGTTGGTCCTTTGACTTCCATCCAAACCTTCCCACTTCAACTCCTCCAGCAAAGCTGCCGGAAGATTTGGGGATGTTGCATCCATCTTCCAAACAGGAAGCAATTATTGTCTCTGAAAGGTACAATGAAATCTATTTGATAAATACTTTACACCTCATGTTTCATGTTGGGTTTTTCATATTACGAGGAAGGTGATTGGAAGGCAAAAGTAGTTCCTATTCCAGTACCTTTCTTGTTCCAAATTTGTTATACATTTAATATGCTCCATGTGCAATGTTCACAAATAATTTTGTTGTAAAATACATGCAATTGTCTTGGCAGAGGTCTTAATTTTTACTCATCGACACTGACTTCAGCAGCTTAGGCTCCAATCAGCACTAAACTGATCCAGGAGATTTAATAATTAAAAAAAAAAAATACGTCAATGTTTTTAGTTCATCTTTCCCTAGTCCTTGTCCCATAAAATGGAGGTGAGAAATAGTGAAAGTGGAACACTTTAATCTTCATGAAAATGCTGGTCTGTCTGCATTAATGGAAGCTCTGATTGTGTCAAGCCTTTAAGCACATGCTTATCTGTAAGCACATACTTAAACCCATTTGCTTTCAGCAAAGCAAATTTGAGCATATTATGTTTTTTATATGATTGCCTATAATTACAGGGGACTGCACTGAATGACCTTCTAGCTATATTTCCAGTCATATGATCACTTTAAAACTCAGATGTTAGTGAGACTTCAACATGTGCTTAGAATTTCCTAAGTGCTTTGGTGAACTGGAACAGTCAAGTGTTCTTGAGCATCTCTAAATAACAGCACATCTTGACTCTCCCATACCAATAGAGATGTGGAAATATTCTGCAAAAATTTGTTCTAATTTTTTGAGTTAAATGGAAAAAAAATATCCATTTGAATGTGTATTTTTGTATTTTCAGTCTTTTTTTTTTTTTGAGGAAAAAAAAATCTATATTTTTTAAATTTTTGAGTCACTTTTAAGTTTTTCTTCTCTTGTCTTAGCTCATTAATAGCAAAAAAAAATTATTTCTTGCACAAAGTCTTACTAATTTATTAATATATCATGCACCTTCATGAGGATCATTATGAACTTTTTTATGTGGCTAGAATGACAATATTTGAACCCTGCAAAAAGATTTATCATTAAACTTCATCTCTCAGCCTCAGCATGACATAACCTGTCCATATTTCCATGTTTTCAGTGAACGTTTTTCCATACTCCTAAAGATCTTCATGTTATCAAGAAACAATATCTAATCCCTGGCTTGTTTGTAATTAATTGGCATTCCATACGAAGCCCACAAAAGAGATCCCTTTAAATTACTGCTACTTTCAAACCACATTTCTCCAGCAGATTGTCCAGCTGGCAAGCAAAGGGTCAAATTTTCATCCCCTCCTGAACCTTTGGCACATCCCATCTCCATAAGCAAATCCAGCAATTCTGCTGCAGCCTGAGGCAGAGGAAGGGGATGTGAGGGATGCAGACCTACCCACCATGGTGAAACACAAATGTGATGGCACTGCCTGGAGAGGAACATGGTCCAGCAGGAGCTCAGCATTCCTCTAACATCAGAAAGGAACCTTCTGACCACATCCTGAAATTATTCTTGCTGTATTGTGGTAACACCAGCTTAGAAATCCTTCTGGATTTTACCTTCTGAGCTTTTTACTACCCCAGAGGTCATGACATCCCTCCAGTCTCCTTGTTTGTTTGGGGTTTTGTCAGGTATTTCCTTTCATCAGGAATATCTGAATGTGATATTTTATTTCTATCCAGGTCATTATATGGAAGGAGTGAGCATAAGGCTTTTCCCTTGCTTGGGCCCCTTTTGATTTTGGGATGGTTGGGCCTTTTTTTCCTAAATTTCCTTTCACACCCTGGACCCCGCTGACCCCTCTGCTGTGAAGTTTTGCAGAAAATATCACAGTTCCTTGGTTTGGAACCCCTTGGTTTCCTTACCTCTGAGTTTACTTATAAGACTATTTAATTTAAATATTTTTCAAATAAATTAATTGTCTGCTATTTATATTTACTATAAAAAATAGCTGTTCTCTGAGAAGATTAAAAGACCCCAAAATCCTACAGTTTAAATTTACATTTCTTTTGCAAATAAGTTCAAAGATTTTAGTGTGGTTCTGCCAAATGTGTTTCTCCTCTAATTCAGTCTAGTTTATGGCCATTTTCCCTTTAGATCCTTTGGGAAAGTAGTTGCTAAATTCTGCAATATTATAAATGGAGGCCAGTTCTGAAATCCCCCCAGAGTTAGCAGTCATTTTCTCATATCTTCCTACACGTTCAACACATTTGAAATCCACAGAGTATTCCCTCTGAGTATTTTCTGAACTAAATGGCCAAAAAAAAAATGTTAATTTTATGGTCCAATCTAAGAAGGCATCGAGCATACTGCGAGAGACAGTGAAAACTTTCTGCTTCAAACAGCTTCAGCTTTACTTCAGTGGTGGGGAGAGGCTGCACACAGCAATCTGCAGGACTGGGTCATAAACTGCTATTGTTAAATACCACTCATTATTCTACAACCCTTCAACCTTTCAATCTTACATAAAATTGAAAAAAAAAAAAGAAAAAAAAAAAAAAAAAAAAAAAAAAAAAAAGAAAAAGGTATCTTTAGCTGCCTGGACATCTGACAATGGATTGGACAATTGCAGCCCTCCATTCCTTGTTCATTTACAACCCAAATGTAATTAATCATCTCTCAATGAAAGAGATCTGTTCACATATCTAACCCCACCCACAGCATTAAACCAGACCAGTTGTGTGTCAGGAGGTGGAAAAGCTCCAAAAAAAGGGATTATTCTCATCTCCAAGCACGGCAGAAGAGCCAAGGTCAGACAGCACCTCCCTGCAAGGCTTTCCTCTGCCCCACTATGTGTGGCTGGTCTCTGCTGCTGAAGTCCACCCACAAAAAGGCATTTCCCAGTCCTTTAATTCAAATAACAGTTTTCTTTCCATGACTGGAAAAAAAAAAATCAATCAGAAATACAAACTCTCTATTTGTGTTCTTGACATCCCTACATTAAAAACAAGCTAACACATATGGTACTTAAAATGCATTCCCATTACCTTATATTTTAAAAGTACCATTGAAAGTATTACTAACTTTAAAAAACTGTACTGAATTCAAATAGGTCCCAAGGCTAATGGAAGCAATTTGTATACCAACCCAAACTGACTGGCCCACTTTTCAAAATACAGGTATGATAATCTTGTGGTTTTAAAAGGACATTTAAATTGAAAGACTGTGAATTTAGTACATAATTATACCAATAGAACCCTTTAACTTGTCAACTTGTAAATCTAAAAGGCTATCAATCATTTCTAAAGAGGAAATAAACCTTAAAATTCTTTGATTGACAGTGCTTATTTTTTATGTGGAAAAAAAAAAAGGAGTAAAGTGGCCAGAAATCCATTTACAAAAGTACATTGTTTTACATAGGTGAGTAAAAAGCCAATAATTACACCTCCAAAAGACATATAAATCAAGGTAAGTACTTTTCCCTCACTTACATATTTTAAGTTGCAGTAAACTTCAGGTAACTTTTTATTAAAATACTTTTCCAAATGCAAAGCTTATTGAAGCCATTAATAGAGTAGCATTTTCATTTAAGCTAATATAATCATTTTTGCAAATACAAGATTTAAGCCATTTTTCTCCTTCCAAACAATAAACTTTCAGCCTGTCTCTTGTGTGAATTAACTAAAATTACACCCAGGTGTACAAAATCTGTCTATCTATCCTAGTGTATGAGTTAAGGCACAATATTTATTATTCTTACCATTTTATGAATTACTTCTTAAACCCTTGAGGAAGAACTTTCTTTCAAATTAGACTCTAACAGAATAAGCCATGAAGCTCCTTATGCAGCAAGTCTAAAGCCATAACTCATAAAATCTAAGGCTTTTAATCATGAAAATGCACAATGTCTGTAGAAATAGGGATGTGTACATTAAAGCCATCTTTCCAAAGTCCAGCTTATGTTTTCAACAAAAATGCTTCTCATGCCTCTGAAAAAAAAATGTTTCCATCATAACCATAATTTCAAATTCTGCACAAATAATTTTAATAACCACATGCAGATAATCCACCATCTTTAAAAGTCTCTTTTTCTTTTTAACTAGTCAGTGGAGGGCTTTTTTTAATATTTCATATAATGAATTCCTACTGTGTCAATAAAGCTTTGGTTGTTAATTGAATGACTGTCTGATATATCTGAGAGAGGAATTTTTTTCTGGCCGTGCTGCCAACTCCCAGCAGAATGATCGACACTTAATATCAGCAATTAAAAGGACCTGTTCAAATATCATATGGAATTCGTAGCTTGGGGTAGTGTAGGAGAGCCCTTCACCAAGGAAAACTCATTCAGCAAATGCAGAGAGTAATTGAATTAGACACGTTTTAACATTATTATTCAAAGAAAAATAAACACACACTACATAGAAGCATTATGGAAATATTTCAGAATGTAAAACATATCCAGTTAATTTGTTTCCCATGCATTCATGGTTTCATTTACTCCTTTTATTTTTCAGTCCTTGTTTCTTTTTCATTCTGTTTGACCCAAAACCAACGAGAAAGCAGCACTTAGACCTATGAACTTCCCATATGCTTTTCCAGTGGAAAAGGCTGCAAGGAGAGGGAAGGGATCTGAAGGCTCAAATAACCCAAAAAAAAAAGACTGAAGGCTACAAAGACATTTGCCTCAGGCCCATAGGTCTGACCGTCCCTGTCTCAGAGGAGAAATCTGACCTTGGTTTTTTTTAAGTGAAACACTTAGGGAAAGGTTGAACGTGGGAATTAAATATCCCACAGTGTCTGCTCCCGTGGAGC